AAGATAATGTGATTCAGTACATTGCCTGGCTTACAGTAAGGCTTATTAAATGTGAGCCTCTGCTACTGGAGAGCACATCTTTGTCTTTCCATTTGCAGGTAAGGTGAAACATTTTTCAAAGGGGTATAATATTTTACCAAAATCTTGCCAAAAGCTGAGAACCGGTTACTTCAGCAGGATATCTGCACTGGAGACCTGAGGAAAACTAGGGCCGGGAAAAGTCTGGGCAGCGATCTGAGGGATAGAGTCAGATGTCCTGCCCCGTTCGGCTCAGCTCCACTTCCCACAGGGCAGACCGGGGTCTGGGATGAGCAGGGAGCCCTGCTGTGATCTCAGCCTGACACAATATTTACAGAACCCTGTGATCTGTCACAGTCACGCCTGGTCACGTCTGAGTCACATTGGTCGGCAGTGTTTCTGATTCTCCAGACGTGTAACAGTGAACACGTTTTGGCCTGAGTGCCTCCGCGTGCTGATCCTGCTAAAATGACCTTCAGAAGAAGCTCTTGGGTATGTGGCCATGGGGGCTGATCAGGTAAATCAGAAGAGTCGCAGGATTCCCTGTCATCTTTGGTCTCTGTTTACCCATCTGTGAAATGGGCCTGGTCCTTGAGTGATTGATAAGGACCAGCTCACAGAAGTTGTTATGGCTAGAGAATGACACTAATATTACTCCATAGGAAATAGAGAACTATTCCAATAGAAAAAGGGGTGGGGATTATAAATGGACAATTCACAAATAAGAAATACAAGCGACTATTAAATACCAAAAATATTTACCTTCAGCAAAAATAAGGTGTGCAGGTTAAAACAAGGAAATGCCTTTTGAAATTTAAAATAAATTATTATTACTGCTCTTTCTCAGAGCCACCTATGGGGTGGCAGCCATTTCCTACTCAGACCCTCAGGCTGCCCTCAGACCCTTGGGGAAGCTCAAGATCATCAAAAAGAACCAAGGAGTTCATCTGGTACAGTAAGAATGATATGCCAGAATTAAGTGTAGCTGGCAGAGACCCGAAGGCATTGGTAACAGGATGCAGAGAAGATTCAAAGGCCAACTGACACCCAAAAGTGGTTATGGCAGCGAAAAGAAAATGATGCACATGCTACCCGGTGGCTCCTGGGAACTCCTGGTCCACATCAAAAAGCTGGAAGTAACAGTACTGCTGATGTGCAGCAAATCTTACAGTGCTCACGGTGCTCAGAATGTTTCCTCCAAGAACCGTAAAGCTGTCGTGAAAAAAAAAAGCAGCCTGTGGACCATCAGAGTCACCAATCCTAACACCAGGCTGCACAGCAAAGGAAATGAACGGACAGCTCATGTGGACGTTTTATTCATGTTAAAGAAAACCATAAAGATGCTGCTATAAACAAACAAGGACACAGTGACACTGTCAGGAGCAGAAACGGATACAACTTTTCTGAAGCCAATATTATCAAAAGCCTTAAATCTTTCCCAGAATCTTTGACCCAGTGTGTTAGTTTTCTTTTTGCTGTTGTAAGAACTTATCACAAATTTAGTGTTTTCAAATACTACAAATGTATTCTCTTACATTTTGGAGATTAGAAGTCTTAGGCTAAAATCAAGGTGTCAGGCAGGGCTGCATTTCTTTCTGGAGCCTCTAGAGAAGAACCTGTTTTCTTGCCTTTCCCACCTTCTAGAGGCTGCCCTCATTCCCTGGTGGCTGCCCTTTGCCATCTTCAAAGCCAGCACTGGCCAGCCAAGTCTTTCTTACACTGCATCACTTTGCCATTGACCTTCCTGCTTCTCTTCCACGTTGAAGGTCCCTTGTGATTCCTGGGCTCAACCAGATAATCTAAAATGATCTCCCTATCTTAAGGTCACCTAATAGGCAACCTTAATTCCATCTGCTAACTTAAGTCTGCTTTGCCATGCTCACAAATTCCACAGATTATGATGTGGACATCTTTGGGAGGCTATTATCTGCCTACCACTTCCAGATACCTGATTTCTAGATATTTGTTGTCATGAAAAGAACTATGGATGTACAGCATCACTAGGCTTCCACTGAAAATAATCGTGAACAAAACAAATGACATAGTAAACAAGTTATAAAAAAAGTTGATACAATGTAGTTCAACTTGTATAACATATAACTCCATCTATCTAGAATATAGATATAAGCTGGAAAAATATACTTTAAAGTTATTTTTAGCTCACTCCTTTCTTGTTGTCTTATTGCCTTCTAGGTCTTCAATTCAATATTGAATAAATAGGATAATAATCTTCAGTCTCTTTCATTAAACCCACTTTAAAAAGTGTATTGAATACCTGAGATCTCTGGGAGTACATTTGATTTTAGTTTTCTTAATATTATGTATGTGTTTTGAAACTCTCCACAATAAGCATATAAGTAAGAAGCATATTACTTCTGTAATAAGCAAAGTTAATTTTTGAAGTACATGAGCTTTTGAGACTGGGGCAAATAATGCGTTTCCACCCATGGTCAGACCCAGGGTCCACCCTCCAGTATAGCCACCAGTCCTGCTCCCCAGAATCCTCCCAGAGAGCAGGGACCCTCTCTGCCCCCTTCTAATCTGCCCCATCCCCACTGCCTAGAGCAGGGCCTGGTTCAATAGCCACTTGTTGAACTGAGAGGTTCCAGGCTAGGATCCTATTTTCCCTTCACTCCCCCATCTGGATTTATCTAAATCACCATGGGAGTTATTTATTTTTTAGCTGTATCTCTGGGGTAATGAATTCTGTCCTCCCTGGGTTCACTGGGGTTTTCTTGGGTGCATTTCCAGGCTGCATCAGACCTAGAACTCTTGCTAAAGGGCTGAGCTTCGGTGCAGCAGGTCTATGCCTCTCGCCCAACTTTGCCATCCCTCTAACCCCCCTGCCCCCAAGGGTAGTAACAATAACATCAGAAACAACAATAATGCCAGATTCACAAGAATGCTTTGGGATTGGTCCCTGTATAATCCCTACTGTACAGATGATGGGTCAGACCAGCAAGTGACCCCTCCAGAGCCACACAGCTAGTAAATGTCAGTGAACAGATCCAAACCTGCGTCCCCCCATAGCTCCAGAGCCTCAGTGTGGTGTCACTGCCCTGCACTGCTTCTTGAAATCAAAGTGTAAGATAATAATAATAGTTTACTCCGATTGAGTGCTCATTCAGTACCAGCTGCCGCATGTATATCAACTTACCAAGTCTTCCTAAAAGCCCATTTACAGATGAGGCAACTGAGGTAAACAGGCTGAGCAGATTGCTAAGGCCCGCAGCTAGGAAGTGCAAGGTCTGGATTTGAGCCCAGGAGGCTGAGCTTGCCCCCCTACGCAGACGCACCTCGTCACATGCGAAGGATGAAGCTATGAAGCAAGCCACTGTGACTGAGACCTTATCACCATACTTCTTGGCACTGGGTCTCACTTTACCCACCTGTTCAACAAAAGAGCTTTGGGCCAAACAATTTTAGTGGCTCTCCCAACTCTGGACGGAAACTCTGCCCTTTGCTGCCTCAGTTTCCCCATCTGTCACCCAAGGGAATGGGACCTCAATGATCTCTCAGGCCCGTTCCCACTCCACAGGCCAATGTCGATCTGTGCTGGAATTTCCAGAGTGCCAGGAGGGGAGAACTTCACTGGGCCCATTCTATAGCAGAGGAGCTGGGAAAGTGACACATTTGAGGTCACACCGTGGTGCAGGGCAGAGCTGGGCCTAGGGCCTGGTCTCTGACGCCAAGGCTGCACTTTGAGGGGGTGAATCCCCACTCTCGGCTTGCTGGGTACTCCTGCAGGGGCACGGCTCTCCCAGAACTGAAGAGCAGCCCGGCCTTGTTCAGTCCCTCAAAGAGTCGTTCAGTCACATGTTGTGGGCAGCACTGGGAAAACGGAGGCTGCCACCTCTTGTATCAGCCTTCCTCACCAGACACTTCAGGGGGCAGCTTTCCAAAGCAGGACCCCAGGAGCTCCAAACCCTCGACCTATGCAGGTGTGTGCCCCACTGCACCCCCATCCGGGTTGTGGTGGCTAACATCACTTGGCGATACTCAGCCTCATTTTGAGGGTGGCTCCTTCTGGGAAAAAATTCAAGTCAAGTGGAACCTAGGTTGGGGGTGGGTCTGCAGGTTTTTGGGGGATGTGCGTGGGGTGGGTGTTCTGGGCACCCGGAAAGCACCTTCTGAAGGCCTTCTCCTGATGGGATCACTGATGGGCTATGACATTATGGCTCTGCAGTGATGGCAGAGAGGACAGAGGGCCAGGCCTCCAAGGGGTGGTCCAGAGGGCAGGGACCTGGGGCATCTGGAGGGTTTACAGTCTCAGCTCCACCACTGGGGGCATCTTTTCTGTGCTTTCCATGAAAAACAAAAATGAGCAGAGAACAACTCTCTTTCCCTGTCACCCATCTGTCAGTCTGGCTGTCGTTTGGCTGTCTGTCTTCTGTGTGTAAACTAGGAATTCTGGACGGCGATTCTTTCCTGCCTGCTTGGTTCACCAGCGGAGGGCCTGGAGCATCGTGGGGCGGGGGGAGGGCAGTGGGGCGCGGGATGCATACACCCCAGGCGCTCGAGAATGAGCCGCTTTCCGGGGAAGGGAAAACCCCGGGCCAAGTGGAGCTAGCAAGGTGGACGTCGGGGTCATTCCGTCAGGGCAGGGCGCGTTCGCGTGCACCGGGGGAGTGAGGGTGGCGCTGGAGTTCGAGATTTTCCCTTGTCAACTGTCTCAGAGTCGCGCCCCCCACCCCTGCGGGGGAATTTGTAAATGGAAAGTGGGGGGCTCTACTAATCCTTCCACTAGGACCTCCCCAGACACTAGGAGTTTAAAAATACCCAAAGCCCTGAACTTTCCCACTCCTTAGAACGTGGGGAGGGCTTGGAAGGAGGACACCCCTTCCTTCCCCCCTCTCCCCGCCCCCCGCCTCCTCGGGCCTCGACGCAGGACCCCTCCCTCCCCGCCGCGGGGGTGGGGGTGGGGGCGGGCGGGGAGGAGGGGTGGGAGAGGCCGGGGCGAGGTTTGCTTTAGAAGGGGCGGGCGGCCGGCGGAGCCCGGGCTTCAGCAGCTCGGGAGAGAGCGAGGCGGCAGGGAAGGGGAGGGAGAAAGTTTGTTTCCCCGACGTCAGCGCCGGGCGGGCCGCGGCGGCCGCGGAGCCAGGAGGCTGCGGGGAGCGGGCCGAGCGCCGGGCGGCCGGGGCGCGCTCGCTGCCACGACCCGCGCCTGCGACCCCGCCGGCCATCCCGGGGCCGCTCGCGGGCATGGACAGCGCGGCGGCCGCCGCCTTCGCCCTGGACAAGCCGGCGCTGGGCCCGGGGCCGCCGCCGCCGCCGCCGCCCGCGCTGGGGCCCGGCGACTGCGCCCAGGCGCGCAAGAACTTCACGGTGAGCCACCTCCTGGACCTGGAGGAGGTGGCGGCGGCCGGGCGGCTGGCGGCGCGCCCCGCGGCCAGGGCCGAGGCGCGGGAGGGCGCCGCGCGGGAGCCGTCCGGGGGCAGCAGCGGCAGCGAGGCGGCGCCGCAGGACGGTGAGTGCGGGCGGGCGCGGGGCGCGGGGCCGGAGCGCGCGTGGGAACGGCGGGGCGCGGGCGGGGCGCGGGGCGCGGGCGGGACAGGCGGCGCGCCCGGCCGGCCGGATCCCAAGCTGGGGAGCCGACGCGGCGGCAGGACCTCCCGGGACGCGGCGGCGGGGCAGCCTTGGCACAGGCTTGTCCCCCAGCCCGGGCTGGGTTGTCTGGCCGTGGTCGGTGCGCTGCGGTGCCTGGGGCTGTCTTTTGGGCAGGGCCGCCGCAGATCGTACGAACTGCGGGAGGTTTGCCGCCTCGGTGCCCAGGGCGGCGGCGGCCCGCGGGGCCCCGCTCCCAGACGGCCTGGGAGGCGGGGTGATCATTGCCGGGTTACAGCTGGAGAAACTGAAGCTTCCGAGGGGCAAGGCGATCGAGCCACGGAGCTGGGTTTCAAACTCCGCGCCCCTTCGTCCAGGACACCACCCCACTGCTGCTAGGGTTTCCAAAATGGGTTCCCTGGCTGGGGTGCGGACGCCTAACCCCCACCTCCAGTTTGTCCCCTAGATGGAATGGTCCAACCCTAAAGAGCCAGATAGGCCTCTCTTCCCTGCCGGGGTTAAAGGTCATCAGGAAGGGGCTTTGAAAACAAACAACCCACCCAAGTGGCTTCTTTCAAAAAGTCACACTGGATCTCAGGGTCCTGAGCCCTGGGTAAGACGCCAGGGGGGTGGGGGGGCGGGGGTAGAGCAGGAGAAGATGACAAGAAGCAAAAGTCCTGGCCCTGGACAACTTCATAGGGGCCTGGGGTCCCCACAGCTCACCCACTCCCTGAAGAGGAGGTGGGGTGGTCTGAAACCACTGCCTGGTCCCCAGCGCCGGGGAGCAGGCTGGCCTGCTGGAGGCTCTGGGCCCCTCAAGAGTCCCCCACCTGACTTCAGCAGCCTCTCTTCCCAGGGACACCCACTCCCTGCATTAGCCTCCGGGTCTCAGGGGAGCCCTGCCTGGCTGCATGTCCCGCTTTCCAGATGAGAGAAGGAACGGGGAAAACAAGGTGACTGCAGACTCATCTGAAACCTTGTCCAGGATCATGTGCATATGTGGGGCACGCCTGACACACACCTGCACCCCAGAGGGTGCCCAGCCGGGGCCAGTGGTGTCCACTGACCACTAGCCCCCTCTCAGGGGCACCCACCGCCTGAGCCTCGGCAGCCTGGCTCTCTCCCCACCCTCCAGGGCGAGCATGAAGCATGCACACCCACCCCTAGCAGCTGGGCTTTCCCTGATGGAAAACTGGAAGGAATGTGTCTGGCTTGGGCCAGAGGTGAAGTGGGGTGCCTTCTGGTGCAGGAGGGGGAGCCTGCCAACCAGAGTTTGTTCAAGGACCTCTGATCTGGGAGGGGCACTGGCTGTGAGCCTGCTTCCCCGAAGGACAGAGGAGAGGAGACGAGAGTAGTATAGGAGTGATCAGCAGAGAAGGAAGCAGGTCCAGGTGTTCTGTAGGCAAATCCCGGCCAGGGAGTGGGTGCCCATGTCTGCCTGGCCACTGGCCGAGCAGACAGACAGTGGAAGGCTTTGCTTCTCCCGGGCATGGCACAGAAAGTCTCCAAATGGAGGCTTTTTCTGGGGAGTCCTAGCTCATGTCCACTGGAGACACAGGTGACTGGACAGGACCACTGGCAGCCCCCAGAAAACTGGGTGGGTGGTAGGACTCCCCAGCAACCCATGGGGCCTGACTACCATCAGGGAGATCATGGGAGGCCTGCGGGCCTTTTCCTGAGAAAAGGCTCCTGCGCCCTGGGAATATTTAGGTACAAGGTACAGAGAACACACTGGGTGTGGGGTCAGGTGGGAAAGGACCAAGGGCAGTCAGTGTGCCCCCACACGTGGGCATCTGCTTCTAACACCTGTGAGAGACAAGGCAGAGCTGGGCCGGCTCAGTGAGGTGCTCAGGGCTACATTCCAGCCTGGCACCCTCCACCCCCCGCCCAGCTCTTCCCTGGGAACACGTGGTCCAGCTTGGTGCTCCTGGCCCATGGGGAGATTTTCTCCAGGCCTCTGCACGTTGAAACAAACATGGACAATATGGACAGTTCTTCGGGAAGCTAAAAATTACAGTTTAAAGGATCCTCTTGGGTTTGGGATTACATCTTTCCTACTCATTTTTGTTCTTAAAACACCCTTTCTTTTATGAAATAGGGATGATGACTGGATGTTGTTTTATTTTAATGTCCTTACTTGGCAAAATTTAAAAGAAGTAATCCTATACTCATCTCTCAGATTGAAAGTAAATAACTAGGCCACGAAATCCAAGTGTTTTATATAGAGTCAAGCATCTCCCCAAGGCCAACTGGGTGCATTCCGGGGTGCCTGCTGCCAGGCAGAGATCCCCTGGAGAGGAGAGGGCACGGGGCTGGGGAGCTCTGGCCCCGGCCTGTGAGAATCCCTGGGCTTGCTCCCTGCAGAGAACGGTGGAGGGTGGCTGTGAGGCAGAGGCCAGCTTCTTAAGGGGGCAGGTGCCCCTTGTTGCTGACACTTACTGTGGATTCCCAGAGGTTGAAATCTTCAAAGTGGACTCCGGATTCCAGGCCAGCGGGCTTGGGCCCTGGGCTGTGACTTTGTCCTGCAATCCTGGGCCTGCAAGGAGCCTCGGCGGCGCCTCACTGAGGATTCGGATGTGCTGGGGGGTGGGTTCTCCTGGGGCTTTGGGAGCTGTTTCTAGGTTCAAAGAAAGTGATGGACACCAGAGAGAGAGAGATGGGGTGGCCCCTATTCAAAAAGTAAGGGTTAATGGGGAATCTGATGAGTTAGAAACCTAATATATTTTCAACCTGTCAGGTTGTTAGTAGCCTCAAAAATTTTTTAAAACACTTTTTGCTCCTGTTTTTACAAAGCCACCAGTAGTTGTGGCCTATTCTTGCCAGTGATTTTCCCAGGCCAGGCTCCCCCTGGAACTGTGGCTTTGCCGGTGACTCAGAGCAAACTGGGGTCTCGGGTTCCTCCCAAATCAAACGCTGAGCTCTGTGCCGGGGCGCTGAGCTATGCCAAGCACGTTAGGAAAATAAACCCGCGTTTGCTGCCTTTGCAATGACTTACAACAAAAGAAACCACATTAATAACCGAGATTTTCTTTAAAGCATTCCCTCCTGTGGGCAGGGCGGAAACAGGGATGCGGCCACACTGTGAAAATAAACAAAGGCCCTGGAGCCAGGCAGGCAAGGCCCCCAGCCCAGGGAGGCTGCCTGGCCTCTGCCGGGCCGGTACCTGCCTCAGAAAACCTCAGGACTAAGCTGATCCACTTCCCAGAGACGCAGGACAGTGGGGCGCTTGGTGTCTCAGGGCACAGGCTGAGTCAGGGCCGGCTGGAGCCCTGGCAGGGGGCCTGGGCTCCCTTCACGGGCTGCTCCCTGAACCGCATCTGCCAGCAGGGTGACAGGAAGCCAAGGGTGAGTCTGGTTGGGGCGGGGACCTGTGCCTCCCCCTCACCAGTAATGGGTGGGCAGGGCTGAGTGTGTCTGCGTGGAGGGCCTGAAGGGACCATTGAGTTGGATAGACTGGCCGACGTACCTTCAATTTTTAAAGTTATTGTCATGGCAAAATATACCTAACAGACGATTTACCATTCAACCTTTTTTTTAAAATAATTTTTTTATTAAGATATTATTGATAGACATTCTTATGAAGATTTCACATGAAAACAATGTGTACCATTCAACCATTTTTAAGCCTACTGTCCAGTGGCCTTAAGTATATTCACATTGCTGTGCACCCATTCCCACCACCCCTCTTCAGAACTTCTTTATCTTCCCAAACTGAAACTCCGACCCCATTAAACACTGGCTCCCCATCCCCCCTCCCCGAGCCCGCACCCACCGTCTGTATTTGTCTTTCTGTGACTGGCTTATTTCACTGAGCGTAATGTCGGCCCGGTTCATTCATGTTGTAGCCGGTGTTAGAATCCCCCCCTTGTTAGGGCTGAGTAATGCTCCGCTGTGTGTATATGCCCCATTTCATCTCTCCCTTCACCCACTGATGGCCGCATGGGTACCTGTCTTTCGGCTACTGTGAACAGTGCTGTTATGAACCTTGGGTGCACACGTATCCCTTCAAGTCCCTGCTTTCAGATCTTTGGGGTATATACCCAGAAGTAAAATTGCTGGGTATCATATGGTCATTCATCCTATGTTTAATTTTTTGAGGACCCTCGTTACTATTTTCCATAGCTGACTTCAGTTTTTAACCAGCCTGCCCCTCTGCTGGCTCTGACAGTGGCAGCGCTGCCGCGGGGCTGTGACAGAGAAGCAGGGAGGAAGCTGGCCTGCTGAGACCAGGCAGGGCTTGGGGGAAGAAAAGACAAATACGGGTTTCTTCAGAGCGGGCTTTTTAAAGACGCTCTGCTTTTCTTCCTTTCCTTTTTCCTCCCTTCCTTTCCCTTCACCCATTTCCTGGGGGTGGGGAACAGAACCATCTGCAGCCGAGGAGCCCTCGAAGGGGGCTCAGGACATCCAGGTACAGGTCCTGGCTTTTGCTGCCTGCTCTGTGTGTGACCTTGGGCATGTCCCATCCCTTCTCGGGACTCAGTTCTCCAGCAGGCAGTTGTTTGCGACCACCCCCATCCCTCAGCATGATTTGATCCAGGCTGAGAAAATTCCCCGGGATGGGCCCCATCTCCCAGGAACTTGCAATCTCGGAGGCCTGGGTCCTGGCTGGGCCTGGACCCTCAGACAGGTAAGAGGAGGGGAACAGGTAAGCAGGGAGAGGAGGGGGGAGGCATGGAAGCTGAGAGCCCAGGGGGCTTCAGATGGAGACCGGCTGGGTCTCCCGGAGAGGCTGGTGGGAAGGGACAATGGTCTGCATCTCTGGCTTTCTGTCAGCAGGGCGGGACTTGCTCTTCAGCGCATTGTTCATGGCTGCAGGGTGGTCTGGCTTCTCCATCTGAGAGATCATCTGGGTGGGGCCTGCGGGCCTGGCACAGGGGCCTCCCTACCCCCAGCAGGGCCCCACCCTGTGGGCAGAAGCTCGAC